CAAAGAAATGAAGTTAATGGAAGAAGAAAATCAACAAGAAAGAAGTGGACTGAAGATTCAGGTAAAATAAGAATTGAAAACATCCTTTGGGTTTACTAACATGAAGGTCATCAGTGACTTTGGAGAAAGAAGATTCCAGCTGTTTATAGGAGGTTGGAGTAGGCTAAGACATCTCTTCTGAGAAATTTCTTTGGAAGCGAAGACTGAGAACTAGAGGATTGGAGACTTGGGGTGGCATTACTTTAAGAGAGGAGGGACTATTTCACCTGCTACTAAGAATCACCCACTTGAAGAAAAGAGGTTTATAGTATTGGAGAGAAAAGGGGTAGTTGATAATAGAGAAGGTATGAAGAGATAAACCATTAAACATCCATTGAAAGCATGATCCCTGAAAAGAAAGGATACCTCCTCTGCCATTTCAGACAAGAGGACCTACAGAGGAGATAGACAAGGTGATGTGTAAATGTGGCAGGAAAAGGAGGCCCTGCACGATGCTTGCATTTTCTCAGTGAAATAGATGGCAAAGTTATCTGCTAAGAGTAAGAAGGTGGACATGGGGACTGAAGGTTTGAGAAAAGAGTGAAGCTTTTAAATAGTCATCCTGGAGAATGAGAGTCACTTAAAAAGTTTAGCATGACTGCAAAGCATTGATGAGGGATTTATTGAGGTACAGTTGGTGACAGTCAGGGGAGGTAACTGAGGTATAGAGGAATAGATGATAAAACATTAAGAACCAGGAAATGCAGGTGATGGTCAGATAATCCACTTATACATTGATATCACTCAGAAGATGACAGTTCTTATACCGGTAGGTGGGGAACATAGGGAGACAGAAACCAAAGTCTTCACTGAGACAGTAGGCATATTGCTTTTCTATAGCTGACCTAACAGATTGCCACAAACTGAGTGCCTTAAAACAACTGCTTATTCTTTCATAGTTAGAGAAGCTAGAAATTCTGAGTCTGGATGTTTGAATGTATGTCTCTTTCTAGAGGTTTCAAGGGGAAAATCATGACTTTCTTCTAGCTTCTGGTGGTCATCAGCAATGCTTGATGTGCAACAGCATCACTCCAAACTCTGCCTCTGTTATCAAATGGCTGTGTTGTCTCTGTGTACATTTGTATTCCAATTTCTTCATTCTTTAAAAATGTTAATCATGGGACTGAGATCCACTCTACTGTAGTATGACCTCATCTTACTTGTTTAAATAAGGTCATGGGTACTTCATAGGTACTTTGGGGTTAGGATCTCAATGCATCCCTTTAGAAAGCACATTTCTTTTCTATTTTATTTTATTTCTTTACTCATTTTACATACCAACCACAGTTCCCCCTCCCCACATCCCTCCCCCCACCTCCCCTCAATACACCCTGATCTACTCCTCAGAAAGGATAAGACCTCCCATGGGTAGTCAACAAAGCCTGGCATATTCAGCTGAGGCAGGGCCAAGCCTCCCCCTGACTCTCCCCTGCATCAAGGCTGAGCAAGGCATCCACCATATGGAATGGGCTTCAAAAAGTCAGCTCATGCACTAGGGATAGATCCTGGTCCCACAGCCAGGAGTCCCACAAACAGACCAGGCTATAAAACTGTTGCCCACATGCAGAGGGCCTGGTTTGGTCCCACACAGGCTCCCCAGCTGTTGGTCTAGAGTCCCTGAGCTCCTGAAAGTTGAGGTCAACTGTAGACAGCACATTTCAACTCACTGGAGAAGATATGATCAGGTGACTGGTGCCTGACAATAATATCTAATATGTCAAAGTGATATAAGACTAAAAAACATGGTGGTTTGTACAAGAAAAGGCAAATGCTTTGAAAGTGGCAGTCAGAAGCAAGCCAGACTCTTAAGCAAACTCCTGACCACACGGCACTAGAAAAGGCAACTAGTAGGTCTCATAGAGGAAGGTTGCAGGGGAAGCAGAGTCCTCTAGCTAGAGCTAGGTTTCAGTTAGACCAAAGGGCTTGAGAATGCCAGTGGGGGAGAGCTGACAGAGTGGCAGCTTGGGAAGGTACAGAAAAAAAAATGAGCCTAGATTGACTGAAATAAAAATAGAGCAGTTTGTGAACCAGTGTGAGGGTGGGATATGGGGCTTACATTTGGGAGCTGACATGTAGGGCAGAATGAAGTTATTCACAGGAGCTTTGAAGAGGTTGGCTCTGGACCTGAGCCTAGTGGCCAGAAATGTGTCTGTGTCACTCTCTTCCAGAACTGATGGAAGCTGCAGTACTTTCAGACTATGTATACTGCAGGTTCTGGAGTACTAGAAATCTTAGGGACAGCCATTTCTGCTCCTTTGTGTTCTAAAGTGGATATTGGGATGAGATCACTTTATCAGTTACCTAGGGATATGCTGCCTTCCTCATATTAAAAATTAGAAGTAAAAGAGTGTACTGAGAGTTAAGGTGTAGACATTTACTTCTCTGGCTTTTGACTATGAGAATTTAAAATATTTACTTGTAATCTAGGTTGTAGACCTTTAAATGGCACCCTCCACCTCTAAGCCCTGCACGCATCAGACTATCCATAACTACTGAATAATCAAGAAGCAGAAAATGTTAGCTGACATGTCAATCTAGGCAATTACTCAGTCACTACCCACCTCTTCTGAAAGGAGGTAAGGTAAGCATGAACTTTGGTATGGAACTACTTGTGTTTAAATTCTACTTCAGGCACTTGTTAGCCTATCCCTACTTCAATTTCTTCATCTGGAAGATGGAGAGAATAATAATTCCTACTTCCCAGAACTACGATCATAGAAAACTAAGTAGCATCACCCATATTTCGCACTATTCACAACAGGATATTTATGAATTTATGGAATCTGTTTAGGCACCCATCAATGAATGACTATCAGTAAAGAAAGTACAACACACACACACGCACGCACGCACGCACGCACGCACGCACGCACGCACACAAACACACACACACTCCACCGGAGTTTTATTTGGTCAAAAGAATAGAATTATCTCATTTTCAGAAAAATGTATGGAGCTGAAAATAATCACGTTAAGCAAAATAAGCCAGATTCAGAAAAATACTACACTTTATCTTATGTACTGAATCTGCATTGTAGGAAGACGTGAAAGAAGAAGGGGGATTATTTAAGGGAAAGGAAGGAAATGGGGGTGGAGGAGTATATGAAAGGGTAGTGAGGGATAAATATGATAAAAATATGTTTTGTGTATGTGAAAATATTATGAGATCTATTCTTTTATACGATTATTATATACTAATAATTTCTATTTGTAAAGGAAAGAAAGTTAAGTGACAATATGTACAAATACATAAAACAGTATTGTGTGTGTGTTATGTTCTATGGAAGTGTTTATTTTGATGTTTATCCTCCCCCGCCCTCCCATTTAATCACTTGATACCATTCTGCTTGCTAGCATCTCCATGTCTTTGGACCCTAACCTAAGATGAGCACTTCTCAACTTTCTGTTAAGTTGTGCTCTTCTTTGAGGCTGTTTACCTCTAGACCGAACAAGTCCAGAGCTTTCAACAGTTTTCCATATGATGTTGCTGCTGTTACACCAGCCTAGTAACTCACTTTTGGACATTTTGCACGTTGTCATTATATCCCAGTTTAAATTGGCTGTCTAGAATGGATCACAGTGCTCTAGGTAGGATGTGACAAGTATAGGGAAGGGCAGAGCCATCACTTCTCTTGTTCTGGTTCTATACTTCTATTAGTGCAGCCTAAAAATCTAATTAGCTTTTTTGGCAGCATCATCACTCTGTTGGCTCACATTGACTTTACAATCAAATCAAGGTCTTTTTCACATATGCTGTTGTTAAACCAAGCAGGTCTCTTCTATCTTATGCTAGAGGAACAAACTAGCTGTAATTGCTAGGAGAAAATCCAGTGCAGTAATCAAAGCCAAGTATCAACAGAGTTTGGTTACAAAGAAAAACAGTCCAGGCAAGCTGCTGGCAGTTGGGGGTCACGGAAGATGTTACCAGTTTTAGGCCTATTAATGATTTTCCTCTTCCTTACTTGCAGAATGACACAATTGTTTAGAGCAGCGATGTGCCAAGCAAAAGAATACTATATTTCCCAGCTTCCATTGCAGTTCAGAATGTCCATATTATCTAGTTGTAGTCAAAGAGATGTAGGTGGATGTCATTGCATACAAGACATCGCTGTGAATAAAAAAGTAAAGGCTCTGTAAACTGACCTTTGCCTTTAGTCTCCTTCCCATTCAGTGCACTCCTTTCCTCCTGTCTAAAATGCAGACATGAAGCTCAGAGCTGAAGCAGCTATCTTGGACCCTAAGACACAATGCAAATGAATGAAAGCCTACATTGAGAATAGTAGAGAGGAAAAGCCAGGATCTTTCTGTTGGAGTGGGTGCTGATAACCACACTCTACTGTTCAGGCTAGCTTCAACTACATTATCCTCCTGACTCATCCTCTCAAGTTAATGGGACAATAGGAATGCACCACTACACCTGACAAAGGCCCTGGTGTCAAGGATGCCATTGAACTGCCAAAGTAGCCCTGAATCAAGGAAATGTTGTTAAATGAAGCAAATAAATCTTTATCTGTTTAAGCTACAACTGTAGATTTGTTTATTATTTGTGGCCAAAGACATTTCTAGCTGGAACAATCTGAGGACCTAAATGAAGGCCAAACAGGACTCTACAAATCAAAAGAAGGGGCTACTTAGAAATACACATAGGCAATTGACACTTCCAGGAGGTGTCTGTGATGGAGTTAAGGTTCAGTGTTGGATCAGTACTAACTCCCTAGATGACAGGGTAAAAGAGCATCATCAGGCCTGGTTCTTGCTGAAGGATAAGGGTGAAACTGGGACTTGGGTATAGGATGTGAGACTGAATGCTAGGAATCAGAAGAAATGGGGAATGAGGCAGAGGACCAGGAAACTGGAGACCAACCTCAGACCAGCAGCAAAAAGACAAGCTGATGCTATCTGTATTCCAGGTTGGGAGTTTACTTTAAGCCTTCCCATCTTAGTATAGGTAAGGGGTGTAGATGGAAGAAAACTTCCTCAGACCATGGAAGAAGAAGGTGCCCTGCAATGTGATACAGGCAGAACCTGACAAGCTTAACTCAAGCTGTGCTTTAGCCATCCTGACACTCTTCTTAGATTCACTCTTCATTGCATGCCCATCTTTCCTGCTCTTGGCTCATGACTTTTACAAGCTCTTGCTTAAACAGACAGCCTCCAATGTGTCAACACTGGTCTTTTTAAACAGTCCCCACTTTGTCTTCTTCCTATTGTAAGTATTTCACCATGGAAACCTTTCCCTCCTCCTTCTGCTCCAAGTTGTATTTTCCCATGTCAGGTTTGAAGGTGCTCTTCCTGGGTAGTGTGCGTCCCCTCAGGCAGGGCCACCCTTCAGCTTCTGGTCTCTGCTTGAGGTGTAGATAGACAGCAATAGCTAGGAAAGAAGGCTTGCTGGAGCCTACCAGTTACAGGGATTGGTGTGCTCAAAATCCCTCTTCTCACCATGGCTTCTTTGCTCTAGCAGAGGTCAATGTTTTCCCCACCCCTATTCCATTTTCCAGTGTAATCTAGAGTGAGAGAATGAGAACCACCTCTGACTGCTAGTGTGCTACCACTTCTCCTTTGTGTGGGCCAGGTGCTTTATACATAAGCCATTGTGGTCTTATGCCCCTATGATAAATGGACCCCTGTGAGACACTTTTCTCCTTGTGTCCAGGGAGAGAGGGAGTCTTGCCTGAGTGACTTCTCACAGAAAGCTCCAGAGGTGCTCAGAGCAGATAGCCCAAGGCAGTACGGCTGTTCTTTCAATTGGCAAGAGAGGGTATCAATCACCGTGGGTCTCCCAATCAGCTCTAAACTAGGCATCTGTAGCCATTAGCATTCTTTGTTAAACACAGCACTGAATCCACCAAAGACTAAACAAAGAGTGAGTCCCCAAAGACAGTTCCTAGGTGGGCAGAAGCAGGTATGCTGCTGTCACTAATGGAGCTCTTTAGTTTCACCCTCCTTCTTCACAGAACTTGTTTCCATTCCTCACATCTAGGCAGTCCTAGGTCTTTTCAATTAGACCTCTTTAATTCTCTTCCCATGTGCATTTCTTCTCTCACTGCAGCTGATGCTGCCTTTATCAGTCCTCAATGCCCCTCACTGGGACTCCTAAACAGTCTCCTAATTTATCTCCCTGCCCCCAGTCTTGCCCCTCCAATGCACTCCCCATGCCTCAGCCAAATCAATCCTTTGGAAATACAAATCTGGTCATGGTATCTCCTCTCAAAAACCTTCCAATCGCTTCTGTGGCATCAGGTGCCTTTGGTTAGGATAAAGTCCAGGGCCCTCATGATTAGGTTGCTTCAAAATGGTCAACCTCCATTTTGGTAGTGTTTCCACTTTACACCTAGCCACAGCAAACTACTTTGTAGGTTTCTAAACATGCCTTTCCTATCTTTGTGTCTATACCCTTATGCATGACTTCCCTTCTCCTCGGATAACCTTCATAATCACTTTCTCTACTTTCTGTTTAGCCAAAACCCATGTATCCCTCACTACTGCAACTAATGTCTTTGTATCCCAAGACACACATTATATTTGCATCTATATCACTGGTATCTAGTATAGCACATGGAATTTAATACATTCTCTGTAGATGTTTGCCAAGTGACCTGGCTACGGCAAAATCACCTCTGAGGAAAACTTTCAGAGTTGACTAGTCCATCTATCTGTGGAAGAGAGACCTCTCATTGATGCCATTCTTTAGTATTTGGCTATAATCCCTTCTTTAACATGTCTACTTTCCCAATTCAATTGCAAGCACGTCCATAGCAAGGCTGTGCCTGAACTATTACAGCATCCTACATAGGTCCAGTAAGTGCTTAAATATAATGAATGAATAGATCTCCTGAATGTCCGACGAGTTTTTTTCATTTTGCCATACCTTGTTTTACTTTGTCTCTAAAGTCTAAGCTATCACACTCACACACATACCTGACATTTCCTTTATTTTTCTCATTTCTTTTATTTGAAATAACCTTCTCACTCACCCACCCAATTCAGCTAGTTATTTAGGAACCAGCTCCACCCCCAACCTCCACTGAGAAGATTTCCAAGCATGCTTGGCAGTTTGTCTCTGAACAGTGCTGACAGTTCCCACCCATCCCATTTGGCCCTTTGGCATGCCCTCATGTTGCCAAGATGAGGACAAAGCATGGTCAGTTTTAGAAGTATTGATTGAACCCAACTCTGTCCATGAATTCCACTTGCCAATATATAAGTCTTCATTTTCTTATTTGGAGAACTGCCATTTGCTGCCCGTCTGGGTCTTCTACCCCTCCATCTTTCTCTGGCCTTCTTGGAGAATTAGGGCGGTCTAGGGCCAGACTCCCTGGGTTTCTGTCTATGATGCACCGGTTGTCTTAGGCAGTAACCTTCAGCTTCCTCTTATGCAAATGAAGACGACATTAACATCCATCTCATACGATTGTTAAGATTAGAAGAGTAAAGCGAGTTAAAGTGCCAAGTGCAGAATCTAGCAAGTTGTATGCTGTTCAGTAAAGGCTCTTTGCTCCATTGTTATGGTTAGTAGCAAATCTCTGTTGCAGTGATCCCTTAAAAACTACAAGAGAGAGTTACAGCCGAAAGGGAATGAAAAAAGGAAGCAGACCACAGGAGATCTGAGATTTTTGTGAAGTCCAAACAAGGTTAGTAGCGCGGCAGGACATTCCTATGTCCGAGTTCCTAGAGCCATGTGACTCTATGAGCCCCGAGCACATGGTTCCACCCGGCGCAGCTTCCCTAACTCTGGCGCTCAGCTATTCTCAGCAGCCTGTAGGGGGAGCCATGAAGCTAGGACGGGGTTTTGGGGGAGGCTGCTGAAAATCTTCTTAAGGGGGAAAAAAAACAAAAAACCCAAAACCCGACACCCCACCACTACTACCGGTCTTAGTGCACTGCCTTGCCTGCTTCAGGACGCACTCCTAGCTCAGTACTCTTCTGCAGCTAAACTGGGAGCTGTCCTTCAGCACCAGGGCAGTCTTGGCCTCAGGCAGGACAGTGAGGGCGTCAGTGGAGTTAGGGACTCCGGACCGACCGATCGGCAACCGGCTTCAGTGTCGCCTAGTCTTGAGGACGAGGGCAACGTTACCCAGAGACATAGCAAGAACCTAAGGAGATGCCCCCTGCTTCTTTGAATCACCCTCAGAAGTCCC